CCCCCCAAAACCTCATCCATGCTTCTCATGTGGTGCCCAGGAAATTTCACTCTTTAATTTGACTTTTTCTCATTGCTCTCCTCTATCTGCGGTTCTTGGCACGATTACTCACCAGTTTGCTTTCCGTAAGCGCCTTGATTGAGTGTCCACTTTTCTATTGTTTTGGCTGAATTCCAGAAAAATCCTGGGCGAGAAATAAGGGATGCACATTTCTTTCCGATCTCCCGTATTTCCCCTCGATTCTCGTACGTTTAGGTTCTTATACGTAAAGCTTGTTTCTAGCCTGGCGAATTATCCTAGACTTGAATCCGTGCGTCATCCGCGTCTGCGCGGTGCCAATAAAATGCAAATTTAACAGCTTCAAAATGACATTACTTTTTTTATTCTTCAGTTATTCCAGGAAAATACACACGCATCGGGTTAGAATTTAAATATGGAGGTGAATGCCAAAACGCACAGAGTATCGCTCGACTTGAAATTAAAGTGCTCGACGTATCCCCTTAGGGAGTCGCGAGAGATATTCCGAATAGCAGGAATTTATTTATATTATCGGTAGTCGGTCGGGTAGTTCGGGAAATATTTCAAAATCATTTGGTTCCGCGTAGAAAGGAAATATATTACAAAAACGTAATACGGGCGACTGAACTGTCTAGAATTTTTTTTATTCGCAGGAAGTTCAAGCACAAACAACAAAGTACAAACCAACTGGAAATCCAAGTGCACCCCTCAACCCAAGGGACAAGTATTTGCGATTCCATCCAGGGTATCGAGAAGTAACGGCTATCCCTTTCGGCTACTGGCAAAAGGGATATGAACCTGAAAACAGTTGCCAACCCATATCAAGACGCCTACTAGGGTGGAAGGTGGAAGAGCGAAGGTAAATGTCCCTCTTTACCGATTAGTAATCCACCTGCCCGACCGTGTGACACCTCGTTAACGAGGTTAACTTCCTAAGCCCCTACGTCAAAATGAGGACTCGAATTATCAGAGCGATCGACCTCCCGTAGGTCAAGCTTAGGTTGGGTATAGCTCGGAGGAAGGTTATATTGAAAAATTAAGGCTGCTTAGCTGGTTCATTGGTTCTTCTTGCATTTCCCAAATAAAATTGGGATAATCAGGTAACGGATGATGTAGCACGTAGAGGAAGGAGAAAAGAAAGATAGATGTATAGTGATAAGGAGCCGAACTGCACTGCACTTAGCTCTACCGTTCGGATAATCTTGATAATCTCATTGGATAAATTCAACGAGCTGGAAGGGATACTCAGTCCCCTTTTGCTTTCTAGAAAATAGTACCTCGTACCGTCTAAAACTATTATTCGTGAGTCGTAAGACAGAACGACATCCGGACTGAAAGAGACGCCGGGCCAATATCGCAAATGACTCCTGGGCGCTGGTACGTTTGATGGAGAAATTGCGAAAGAAGCTTTTCTGCAATATAATCTGCACACACTGATTGTCAGCGAAACAATTAGACTCGCAGTCAAACCTTATATTATTCTTAAGACACGTATCTTTCGATACTGCGTTGAGGTTCGAATTCTTTCGTTTGTAAAGCAAAGAATCAGCCCACGGTTGCCAAAAGTCTCTAAGATCTCTACTGACCTCCAACTTTTTCTTATTAATACAGCAGTACAGTCCAATCAGTTTATGTCTGCTTGTTGTAAGAGCTCTCCTTCCCCTCCGTTTGTTTTGCTATAGCGCGAAAGTTTCCCCCGCCCGAAAACACTTAGGAGTTTTTAAACGCACATCTCGCCATAAGCGTTTAGCGAAAGTTTAGTTAAAAGTACACGTGTACGTGATTTTTTGACAGATCAATAACAATCAAGTCGCACGTGCTTTTACATACATTATTTTCACGAAGCATGCACGTTAATGGTTTTGCATTAAAAAATATATTTTTCTATTCCACCATATATCCGCGCGACCCTGTCGAAAATCACCTATGATCTCTTAAGGTTCGCATTATTTGATAATTTTCAAAGAAAAACACCATTGAACTCGCGAACGGACTATAAACACGAAGACGCGTACTTTTGGAGTTCAGACAGTGGAGTTTGCTCGAGGCTTATAACGAGTAGGTCCGGCACAATGTGACTAAGCCCGCAGTAGTGGCGAAGCCGTAATTCTAATGCTTCCCCTACAGCTCCACCGAGAGGCTTATAACAGATTTTTTTAACATCGCAACACAACACGGAGACCTTTTTATTCCTAATGTTTTTTCTGCGTATTCACAAAAACTCTTTGCTTCGAGGATTATGTACACGGGTACACAAATCCACGTCCAATGAATCTGTCATAAAGAATCAAGTAACAAGAAAAGAAGTCTGTACAGTTAGACAGATGAAGTTAAATTTCTATTGGTGTCCTCAAAGCTTAATAAGAACAAAAAATAGTATGTATTTACGCCTCCTTGTATCTTTAAGCTTAAATCAAGACCAAACTAAGAAATCAGTTGACTCACTGAATACCGTAACCGGGTCAGTATCTACAGATAACCCAGAGTTTGAACGCGTCCACGATATCAGTGAAAATTACAAAAATACCGGCGAAGAAGTAAACGAAGGCTTCTTCGTTTCCCTCAGCAACTTTTGCAAAGCACCATTGACTTTGAGCTTTGATAAAATTTGTCTCGATACAAATTTAAAAAAATTCGTCATTACCATTTCCTTGGCTTCGGATTGCTGCTAGTACTACACCCGTACTATGGCTATCCTTTAAATCTACAAAAGTTCCATACTTCAGCAGTGTTCCATAAACGTATGGCAGAAGGTACGGGATCGAATTTATTATCCATATCGTACCATACTGGGTAGCCACGCTGAATCCATATTATTGTCACACCAACTTCGATACCGTTCCAACATCCACCCTACTAAAATCGCTCGCAGGATGCATGAACGTAACTGTCTATGCAGAATTCCCATAAAGATCTATAGGCGAAAGTAATAGACGTGGCGCTGGGAGCAGATCGACGACTCTGAACGTTATCGCGCCGGGAGGAAGGAAAAATGTAGTAAAAGCAAAGACGAGGGTGCCTTGGGGGAATCTAGATTCTAGGGGCGTCACTATGGAGACTCTAGTCCATATCCTAGTAGGTGGTAGCGGAGGAACAGTTCCTGGTGTAACATCACCATCAGCAGCATCCACCATAGCCACGAGTGTATCGGTACCATATGAAAATCCCTCTCGCGAGAAACGTCCCCTAGGTTCGAGTACTCGGTTTAATCTTCAGGTCCATTGTAGCATCCCTACTTGCGGTCCCTGCCTTCTCAATCTACCAGTCGGGAGCTTTATGCTTTATCGCGCTAGGAATCCTCGCGACAACCTAGGCGGTTGCTACCGCGATTTGCAAACCGCCAAAAGGCACGAGGCTGCAAACAGCCCGATAAGACTATCACGCTTAATGCTCCCAGGCTTACTCTTGCTGTTTTGCAGACGTTCACAATATATGTATACGTATGTATTTACATGCGCAAGGCCTAGTCTCGTCTCAGAGGTGTCACACGTGTGCCCATACGTCGACCCAATCCGCGTTCCTCTGTTTTCTAGAGGGGCAGCTCGATTTCGTTGACCTGGAAATATTCTCAAGGTTCCCGTTCTACAGCCTGTGGCGAGTTACCGGGATAACATCAAAGAGGGTGCCAAAAGGTCCTTGTTGGCTACGGACACGGAACGGGATGTGCCACGAGGGTGGTACGAAATTAGTTCCATTCCGTTCCGTTCAGTTCCACCAACCCTCGCAATCAACGAGGGTCGTAAGCGAGGGCTGTTCCTGAAACTTTATATCCGCGTCTTAAGGCTATCCAAAGTCCTGATTTACATGGCAGATTATCGTCCTGCTCTGTTATTATTTTTGGCCAAAGGAAATCTCGGGATTACGCGATGCGAATTCACGAAGGGTACACGACTGCATAAGGCGGTCTCGTATTTTGGGGATGATGCCTTTACAATTCACTTCCGGTAAGAATAATCACGCGTTACGTTGAAACTTTTCTTATAAATCCATTTACGTGCTTCATGAATGTTTAATACTGTACTCTACATTAGAAGCTACTCCACGCAGTTTCGTTCCTGTTGTATCGTAACATTGTATTGTATGTATATAGGTACGATCGAATAATCCTTTATTAATTAACCGCCGATTATATAAATTTTATAAACGGATTATACGCGCATCCGAGACTGTAAATTACGGTATTGACTATACAGTTTCTCTCTTTGGTAAGCAGGATAGGTCAGGCATAACGTTGCGTAAGGCATAATCATAGAGAAAGTATAGAGCGTAAATGCGGCGTGCGATGCCACGATTCCTTTACAGTTCCTGGACGAACAGAAATCCGAAACTTTTAGAGTTATCATGAACTTACCATTCTACCTACTCGTTACCTGTGTACTGTGAGTTATATATTTATATACTACTTATGTACGTAGAACAGTGATTATTTCTAAGGACATACTAAAACTGCTCGAACGAACCCGAATCCTCGTATTCTTCCCACAGTCTTTATACAGTAAGTAGGTAGATCCTTCCAAAGAGGATTCCATTTCGAGATTGGCGCCCGATCGAAGAGACAAGGTCGGAGGGGACGCAGGAAGGTCTATGCGAATGAACGAAAAAAAAAAAAAAAAAAAAAAACAGGACAGAAGATGAAATTGAAAGAAAAAAGCGTCAACCTAGTCTTTTTCACTGATTTTTCTCCTCAAAGAGCCGCATCGCCGAATATGCGGAGGAGCGCTATACCAGCTGTTCCTTCTGTTTTCTTAGATCACACCCAGAGGATTTTCCATTTACTTGAAATCTCTCGCTTTCTCTGGAAACAAACAAAAAGTAATAACGGTATAACCACTCTCATTCCCATTGTACGTTACTAGCAGAACAATATTCTCAAGGTTGAGCACGTTCAAACACATATCTACATATTTAGACGTCACTGGAGTTATATAGGAATTATATATTGTTCATATAGATATTTTATATGGTTTAAGCCCCATATAACCTATATATAGTATATAAATATATATAAGTAATATACGGAATATATGTGAATTATACATAGTTGGAAGGTAAAAATTATCTGACACCAATGAAATATAACAGAAATCTGCAGTAAATTTTTTGAAAAACATAGAAAGATACTGTAACCTGAGTTTGTCGTTTTTTTACCCACCTACAAAAGAATATCTACCATGTGACTTATAAAATTACTATTTTTTTTTTTCATGACAATTGAATATTTGACAAGTACCGCGAAGAAAATAGTCGGGGACGATGGATCATAGAATAATTGAGCAAAGACCATCAAAGAATTTGCTTCAATTAACTGTACTTTAATTAAGTGTTAATTTAACAAAATACAAATGGTTCCGTTAGTTATATTGCTGTATTCCTTGACTAAAGTGCAGTAAATATTAGTCCCTCGTGCGTGCAAGAAATTATAAATTTTTGTACATGAAACATATACAATTTATATGACAGATCACATATAATCCATACAGTATAACTCTTCTATCTGAATCCACGCGAATCGTTCTACAAATATTATAAGCACCTTTAAAGTAATTGAAAACGCATTCCTTCAAAAGACTTCCTATCTTACATTATTACCAACCATTAAAGATACGAACAGTTGATCATCACGCAAAATACAGACTCCAATAATTTTTAAATATTGGTATACGCCAATATACCGTATATCACTCAGGTTCAATTATAAAGATCACAGCAAAGAATGGACCTGGCCGATAGAGTAGCGTGGCGCATCTATCGACGTGACATAATGGTCGCCCGTAATACGGAAAGAAAAGTTTTCGTACTCAGGAAACCGTGGAGACTAGAGGACACGTCGTTCCCACATCTTACGGGATTGCCCAGAGCAGCTCGGAGCAGCTCGAAGCAGCTCGAAGCAGCTCGAAGCGAGTGTGCCCACCGTTCTCGAACGAGGCGAAGGCGCAGAGATAGCAGGACTCCCTCTCTGGCAGATCAATGTTACTGCCAACAGCTACAACCGTACCATATTCTCATTTCAGCAGTATCTTTCAGTCTCGAAGAATAAGCAATAACCATACCGGTACCGGCAGTTTCCTCGATGAAGTGCCAATCGTCGTAGGAAATCTCTCTCTTCCTCTCGGTCGCGTTTCGGGGTTGCCCTACTCGCGTCTCTCTCTTGCAGATACAAGCGAGCCTACGTTCGTCTCTCTCGTACTCACGGTCGATATAGAAAAATCGAAAAATCTCAAATCCTCGTCCTGTACATACACCACGGAGCGTGCACTATATATAGTGTAAAGAGCATCTTAGTGGCAAGGTGGCGCCTCTTTCCATCTATATATCTCTATCCCGATCACCGTGGCTGCCTGAACTTTACAGATTGCAACACCTACTGGCATTCAGAATTTCTCATCGACTTATATTTCTCGGAGTAAGCTCTGTATGTCGCTGCGTAATGAATTTCGGAGCGAGGATTCTTTATAATGTAATTGTCATTAGTAATCCTATTTACTAGCGTTACACCAACTCTGTCCTCGAAACTACATTTTTTAATAATAAATTTTAATAACGGTGTTGTGGATTTTCAGATTTATCTTAAAATCAAAATTTTTAATCTTACGTCGAATTTTTGAACGTACCTCTAAATATATTGTGCGCACGTGGATCGGCAGGAAAGGACAGACATATGTGGGAATGTATGAGTATTACTGACCAAACGGATATACCAGTCTGTAGCGACAGACGGAACTGACGAGCGGAAGTCATATGGCTGAGATCTCATGGGGGAAGTATATATGAGGTTAAGGAAGGGCCAAGGGAGGGAGGGAGAGAGAGATAGAAAGGTAGAGAGATAGAGGGAGGAGGACCGTGAGAGCGTCTAGGAGAAAAAGAAGATTCAGAACAAGAGAGAGACCAGAGGCGAGTTTGGCTAGGAGTAAAGCGGTATCTGGCCTAAAGATAGAAAGAGGCGCAGTATACACGGATATACCTATAGTATGTGGCACGAGTAAGAGATTATAGTGCAGGGACTATATGTATTTTGCATAAGTCGAGAGACGTTTTATGTGTGCAGATACGTGCACGGATATTTTGGCTGACGAGGCGAAAAGGCGTCGGGAATCGAGTGGCAATTCGTAAATATTTGTGGCGCAAGGCAAATTTTTCTCAGCCTGCTTCCACCATTACGTTTCACGGAGAGAGCGAGAGAGAGAGGGAGGGAGAGAGAGAAAGAGAGCAGCGACGTCGCGACACCGAGAGCGTCCAAACGTCACTGAAGGAAACCAGAGACTCTGGTTGAATATTTTCGAAAAAACATCAACGGACCTCGGGTTTTTGTATGGTTTCGAATTTCAAAAAGGAACTCATGAACCGCTTGATTTTTGTAAATTTTCAGGGAATACAGAGAGACTGACTCATCCACAGCGATCAAGCAGGGGCGAGGCATCGGGACGTTGCCGCTGTACGTCATCGATTGGAAAGTCGATTGATACGATTCTTGCAAGAAACAAGAGCAACGGGGAAAGCCGTACTCGCGAGACGCTGGTATCCTGGAAAAACGTGATTAGGAGGAAATTAAAAGGCAAAGAAAAGTGTAATAAAATGAATGACGAAGGAAACCAAACAAAGAACCAAGGACAGAATAGCATCCAATCGCGAGATAAAATCCGGCGTATTGGCTATCTTAATTGGATCGTCCTGCCATTATTTAAGCTGGAAGCGAGTTACGCAACCGAGGGCCGTGCAATTTGTCACGGCACCTTCTCTGCATCTTGGCCATGTTAAGTTTCCCTATCACTTGGCTACGATCTTCTTCTTTACTTCGTCACTCCATTGATTCGCCCTTTGGTTTCTTGTAACACGGGTCCATCACTGCGGACTCCGGATAGAATTTTTGACGAGGCGCAGGACGTGCTGGACTCGAGGTACGAATGCAGGCGGCTGCCGTAACGTCATAAATTCTCTCAAAGACTCGAGGGTATGCGGACGCAATATGTGACGCGCCATTACTAAAAATACTCTCTTTCTCTCTCTCACGAGCCCAAGGACTCTGGAATATTTCTATTCCGTCGAGAGGCTGCGTGGAGAGTATTCGATGGAATTGGCTAAATGTGAAGCCACTGTTTTTACGTAGGACAAAAAAAAAAAGGGAATATAGGTGGCTATACGGAATCTAACAGGGCACTCAACGTAACGAGCAGTGACTAATGAGAACTCGTAGAGCATTCCTGTTTTCAAAGTGCTTGGAATATTCGTTTAATTTACCGAGTGGAATAGAAAGAAAAACTTCAGAAAACTTCAACAATTCTACCTATGCGTTACTGAGCCTTGTTTTTCTTTCCTGAGCCTTGAAATTCCGTCATGCGTATCTCAACTATGATATTTATTGTATTGACACTGTCATCGTTATTACTCAAACAGACTCGAGATTCCACGAGACGTTAACTACGACATTTGTTACGGTCTCTGATAATTTGGAAATTTACAAAAAAAAAAAAAAGAACAAAAAAACAAATATCTACGTGATACTAAAAGATTTAAGATACAGGTCGAAACCAAAATTCAAAGCATCGTCACAGTATGTCGTAGAAGTTTGAGTACGCGAAAAATCGAGATACTGTATTGAAAATCGGAATAGTGTCGATAACCACCCTATTATCTTCTGATCAATCAATCGTTATCAAATTTCACTTGTACCGTATACCCCAAAGATTTGGTCCATTTTATTCGCTCGTGAGGTGGTGCGACTAGCAGAAAAAGACAAGAGACAAAATTCCAACCACATCTGCTCCATTGACATCAAGACGTCTGGTTACCTAACAGAAATGACGTAACGAGCATATAATAACGAGGAGCAGCAATCGATTTCAACTCCAGTAGCGCTGGGTCGATTAAAAAGAAACGTTATTGCACGTGAGGTATTTGTTCAATTAGATATTAAAAATATTTTTTCTTTCTTTCCCACGTCGAGATTAAAAACTGTAATTAAAATGGTAACGTCAATTTCTATTTATCGTGCGTGCACCTACGCGCCTGATAATTGAAAATATATTGTTAGCAGCCGAACTTAAAAAAGTTAATTACTCCCACTGAAATATCACTTCTCGACAGAGACTGATTGTGAGCGAGATATTTACGTTCCAGTAGGATATACCTTTGCTACGCTATTGCACGCATAATAAACCCCCACGCATTGCTTTACCAGGAAGGCTACGAGTCCACTGTTGGTGAGCGAGCGAGTGACGTCAGGCTAGGTGCGAATTACTATAGAAGCGTTCGAGTAATTCGAAGAGTTCGTAATGTGTAACGAGAGGTGGAAGAAAAGGTTAAGGTGTATCTCTTAGAACACAGAGACAGTACTGCTTCGGGATTTTCGAAGATCAGAAAAGAGCCAAAATACGGATGCATTAAATTGCAAAGGTTGACGAGTGATATTCCGGTTATATGCAGATTCACGAGTAACGTATGGATACTAAAAGCTATGAATTTCATTGGTATCCTGTGTACCTACGGGCCAACGTGTACGTATAGGTTCTATACATCGTTCAAAATTAAACATGCACGTATTTTTACATGGTTAATACTTAGATTTGCATCAGCCCGTGGAAACGAAACGCCATGGCGCTTGAAGTCGTTTCTCCTAGGCTAATATGGGAAAAGCAGTGAAAACAAAATAAAGCTTGAAAAAGACAACAAAAGGAAAAAGAAGTAAAAGGGAGAAAAGAAAAGTAATTGTAGTAGTTCTTCGATATCGGGTTTGCATTCGCAATCGGTTTTACGACATTGAAGTTCATTGGCGCGTACCGTTAATTGGCCACTGTGTAGTTATGCAAATGACGCTTGTGGTTCATCATGACGTTCTTTAATTAATTATAACAATTAAAATGGGCAAAAGGATCGAGTCGACTGTACGGCCAGTGAAAGGATTCCAGAGAGTTTAAATAATATTTCTTTCACTGTTCTGCTTCTCATCTGAATCTGATATAATCTACTTCTGCGTTTTCCACTTCGGTCACGAAGCACGTTACAGCTTTAATGAGCGATTATTCATTTTTTCGGATTTTCATTGATATTCCACGAGAACCTCAGGACTCCGATGATTCGCCGATGATTCATCCTTTAACAAATGTCGTCATTCGCCTACAGTGAGTAAACCTGTACACGCTCGTGCGCAGCAAAACGGTCGCTACACAAGCGCGAAGCGAAGAAGAAGAAAAATAAGAATAATGCAACGTAGAGAGACGAGAGACGAAAACAACGGCTGGCTTTACTTTCGAGGCACGGAGGACGCCGGGCGTCGATTCTCCCCGTTGACTTTGCAACCTAACCAAGCGTATCGAACCTCGCCGAGGAGAAGGCGCGTAGAAGCTATGGTAGCGTACTAAATAGAGCATCAAAGATAAATACAATATTACAAAATACGTAACCGAAAGACGCTCCGAAAGAGAATAGTATCAATTTTCGTTCATCGACGAGCTGTTCGACGTTGCATTAAATTGCCAATATGCGAGAACGTCTACAGGATATTGTCAAAACACCAAACATTTTGCATGACGTGCTTTTATCTTTCATTCTGCGCATCGTCCTGTACGCCGTTATATGCCATCCTATGCTACCTATATACGCATACGTTTATAGAGTCACATACTACATGAGGGGCGCGTGCTGGACAATGCAGCGTGGAAAAAAGTCTCTTTTCTAAAGATTGAAAAATGTGCTTACGCTTCCATAAGCACGAATGTACATACAAGGCCGCATAAAACCGATCCCTCGACGGAACGCATTATATCGTTAAAGGGTCAAGGGTTAGAAGGGCTGAGACGTAGCAAAGCGTGAAGTGTCTACAGCCTTACGGTATAGACTGTTCAAAGGGAGTAATCTGAAATCGACTATGTATAATGATAATATTTTCACATACCTATTTAGCGCGAGATTCGCGCAAACGTTTCGAGTAACCTGCTGCTAATCCAATCAGATGAATCACGCACATGTCAGAGTTTCTAATAATTCGATAAAAGCGTTATCGACGTATCTTTAATGGAAAAAAACAACACATAAAAGTTTACTCGTTTACTCTACGTTCGACAATCATACATTTTGCAACTCATAACAAAGGTCACAACAACTGACGCACGTAGTATAAGAAACTTGATAACGTAATAAGAATCATATGCAACTACGTCATTGAATTACAGCAACGGAATTAACGAGATTTTGAAAAGAAACTTAGACACAACAATTACGTTACATTACAAAACATACGATGCATGTCGCGTGAGCGTCCCTCGCAGACTGACTGCTCGACTAAGCTGGTTGGTTTGCTGCGCGAATGGAATAAGGAGTGGGGACTGTCAGTGGTTCTCATCTTATGAATTAAATATAGCTACAGTGGCGCTCCGATCGTAGATAGTAGCTATAAGACGTATTTCATAATAATTTTTTTCCTATTAATGTAATGTACATAATAGTGTTTACTGTTACTGAAATATGTATTCGAAAGTCTAAGAAAACGACGTGGAAAACGAATGGAAATTTTCATGGTAAAATTTTAAATTTTTTATAATGCAATGAAAATCTCTTGGGACATTCGTTTCGCGTGGTGTACGGAGTCGTATATTTTTTGCGAAAACAACGAGCAACGTCTACGCAGCAGTATATAGGTACCGACCATTTCCTATGGTGAGCGAACTGAATATTTCTGTATATATGTTTTCGGAGCAAAAATTGTGTAAAAGATACGCTACGTTTTATGTTGTTAGATATACGTTCTTCTTTATTTCTTTTACCTATATATCCATCGTGACATATATATGCGCTATCTATATACATAGTACATACAACACGTGGTCCGAAGATCGCGAGAGGGAGAGAGAGGGGCGGAGGGGTATTAGTTAAGAATATCGATTTAGTCGTAAAGTTATAAAGTAAAATTGCTCGTAAATTTATGTTTCAAAGTTCACTTCTCCTTCCTCCCCACGAGATAGGACACAGTAATCGTAGCTGGAGGGGGGATAGAGGGCTATATAAAATTATTGGAGGCGCAAAGGGATGAGTGTAACTAAACGGGGGTTGGACGTTTATAATATTGACGACCGTTAAGAGTAGAACTTTCCCGGGATTTAGGGGCGAGTATTAGGAATTATTTTTTATTCGCTACGGGGTGGATTATGGCGAGGAGGAGGGGTGGGGAAATTCTAACGAAACGCATTGATCGTGGTTGGGGTGAAAATTGCGTGGGGAATATAAATGAGGTTAAAGGTTCACGATCTTTCATAGCACAAAGCAATATCTGACGCTGCTATAAATTAATTTATATATAGGCGGACGAAGAGAGAGGATATGTTAGGCTAAAGGAAAACAAATGAGAGCCATTTACTCAGGCGTTAACGAGGCTACGAGTGACACTTTTCCCGATATACATATATGTATTTTCCTCCTTACTCTAGATTTCTTGGTTCCCACCGGTCGTTAATTGCGCTAATTAAAGACTCGTAAACGCTTGGCGTAGCTTAACGTTCCTTTCTTCGCGACAACGAGTACGTCATGCGTGCATAGGTACGTATGTAAAAGAAAAAAAAAAAGAAAAAATGGATACGTAACAACACGGTCGCGCCGGTTTAAAGCAAGAAATCTGTACAGTCTGTGAAAAAAAAATTATTCACGAGATTCATTCTTCCGTTTGTTTAACCATCAGAACCACGATGTTCTACAAAGATTCGGCGAAGACTCACCATAAATAGCAGCAGTGTCACGGAGAAGATGGCCGAGGATCGCGTGTCAAAATATTATTCTACATGTCCGAGTATATCACCGGCACGAAGATTCATGATATCCAGGCTAGATTTGTAGAGACAATGGAAAGAAGTAAACGTAAAAATACTCCAAGAAATCTCATGAACATTCCAGCTGAAACTTTGGAATGTCGATTTTATTTATTGATAGAAACTTTCACGCCTAAGTAATGGAAATAATATAATTTCCATCTCAACAGGTTCATCTGTCCACCAGGCAATTGGATTGCATTGGTTTGCGCTGTATTTCAACAGTTCGTAGTCAACCGGTCATTCACTTACCACAGATATAAGTAAAAACCGCGAATAAAATGACTGTACCTCCCGACTAGAAAAAAAAATTATTTTCCAGGGTTGAACGAACTCGATGCATCGACCTTATGAATGATTGACTAACCTTCTATTCGACATACGTATAACACGTGCGTGTAAAACGGTACGTATGTACATAAATAATCAGTATACCTAAAGGAATCACACACAGAAATCCGGCGGTCCATATATCTCCATGGTACATAGATATCCAGAACTCAGCCTGTACATTTACCAGATATGGAATATTTCCCTTTATTCATTATTCCCCGCTTTCCACTACTTTTTCTATCTGTCTACTGACATATATACATATACTATGTGTATATCTACATAGGACACGTACATAAGACTATTCCATGGGGATATGAAAAACAGGGGAATCGATAACACCGTCGATTCCATGTGGTTTAAATGCGTTTCAACCCCTAGAGAAAGCGGGAACGCGCGAATGGCCTACATTGTGAATCAGTGAGACCAGCAGCTGCTGCTGCTGCCGTTTGCTTCCATTGCCAGTACAGAATATATACCAATTGTAAGTCCATGCCTTTCTATATACATAAGTGCATACTGCCTATACGCAGCCAGGAGCATATATGCGAATAATGTCCTGTATATGGGTAAACCGTGAGTCGAGTGTGAGGAAAATGGGAGCACGCATGTGCGCGTGTCAAAGAGAGAAGAAAGGGAGGAGAAGAGAAAAGAAAGGAAATAAAAGAAAAAAAAAAATAAATAAATGGTGAGATTTCTGGGGTGGTAACTGCAGGGGGGGAGGAGTCCCACGAGTGCGATTCGTAAGAGGGAACGTGGCTGGAACTAATTCGTATAACGTTATAATGCTACTGGCACGCGTTAATCGAGCCGTATGTATGCCTTATGTACGTATAGTACGTATGAGGATGACTATATACATATCCACCCACACTGATCATTTTAGTGTATACGCAAATGGTCATTAAGGCGCTCGTGCGAATTTCTAAAGATGGGGTGAAAGTACAATGAGCATTGCTTCTCTGACACGAGTATTGTACGTGCACTTATATGTACACACGACTAACTCCACGTCAGCCTTGTTTGGTCATTTTACCTTTTCTCACCCATTTTATTTACATCCCGTGGGAAGCTTGGAGTAGCCGTTAGAACGGTGCTGAAAGTGCTCCCGGAAAGTATTTCGACGAAATTCCAACGTCCGTTCTCGCAGACGTCTAATAGTTGTCTCGCGAGAGGCTGGATTCGGTCCTAGACGAGTCGGAAGGAGAAAGTGGCCGAGTGTAGGGGAAAAAAGGGTTAAATCTTCGCTAAAAGAAATGGATTTCCGGACTAATCGTTTTCTCGTAAAATAGAAACTATCAGGGAAAGAATGTAGAAAAAAGGGAAAAAAAAACATATTCGACGAGGGTTGGTGCTTATTTCTCTGCTTTGGTACGTTTCTTCTATTTTTTGTCGTTCTTCGATATACGCGAGACGTTAAATTCGGTTTGTGGTTCTTTCCTACATTTTGTTTCGATGTTTCGCTCTTTTAATCCCGATTCCTGCTTCTGCTTCTCTTTCTCTCATTGTTTCATCATCCACGTGGTTTAGTAGTTCCGTTCGAATTCACTGACAATTCTGTCCTTTATTTGGAGTGGTTCGATTACGAAAAAAAACAAAATAAATAAAAAGACAGATCGAATGTAACCATCCAGATTGTCTCTAAAGCACGTTCCGAGAGGACAGCAGAAAACCTGATGACGTCAGCACAGCTTTTGAAGGGTTAACAAACAGAAGCAGAAACACATATACATAAAAACATATATACAGGGTGAATCACGAATCGTGATCCATAGAGATTACTTTGTTATTAGCAGTACGATCGAAAATGTTTTTATCAGCTTTTGCATGGTTTCAAGAGAGCTTTAACGTGATGGTGAAAAATTACTGGTCAACTCTTTTTTTAAATGTTTTATCAAGGTTACCAAGAATTTTTTGCAACTGAACATATAATTTTTTTACGCCTGTCTGTTAGAGGATTTCAAGACGACTTCGGCACATGTAAGGACATGACATTTTTTTCATCCGGTTCGAAAGAAAATTAAAAAACTTTGTATCACAAGGAGAATCACAGTTACGCCGTTCTACGCATCCATTCTGTCGTCTTCAGTCGCCGTCAGTGTAGAGGAGAGGCCATAAAGAATGCAAAACAATCTTTTGTTCACCGTCTACGCGAGTGCATTGCAGCTCGTGGACACCATTTTGAACATCGCTACAATTAAGATTGGTAAATTTTGACTTGTCAACAACATTGGATGCGTAATAACGGCGTAGCTGTGATTCTCCTTGTGATACAAAGTTTTTTAATTTTCTTTCGAACCGGATGAAAAAAATGTCATGTCCTTACATGTGCCGAAGTCGTCTTGAAATCCTCTAACAGACAGGCGTAAAAAAATTATATGTTCAGTTGCAAAAATTCAAGGTAACCTTGAAAAAACATTTAAAAAAAGAGTTGACCAGTGCAGGTTTTAAAAAATTGTATGTTCAGTTGCAAAAAATTCAAGGGAACCTTGAAAAAATATTAAAAAAAGAATTGACCAGTAATTTTTCACTATCACGTTAAAGCTCTCTTGAAACCATGCAAAAGCTGATAAAAACATTTTCGATCGGACTGCTAATAACAAAGTAATCTTAACTGATCACGATTCGTGATTCACCCTGTATACATAAAATTATATATATACTGTAATGTATTTTCTTAACTCGATACCGATAACGAAAATCTGATTGCTAACCTACGTCACCTTCGGCTATGCACCCTTCGACCATGCGTTCGCATGCCAGGCGAGCGCCAGTCAATTCTTTTGTCACCGAGAACTGTCGATTCGGTATGACCTAGGAGTTGAGGTGGAACATTCTCAACTCCGTGAAAACAAGAGGTCTGACGGAACTTATTGGAAAAGACAGTAGCTTAACTTAGCTTAAGACAGTAGTAGTAGTAAGAAATGCAACCGTAGGTGCTGATCTTTGAGGTGGCGCAAAATCAGCAAACGAAACTTGATGCACCAACGGCAGCGGAAGGTTACGGAAATGCACAGTCGTTCAGGCTGCTTGGTTGAAGTAGAAAGGGTCCGCGTTAACGTCAGGCAAATAGGACGGAACACAGAGAGCAAATGATCGAGGACATATAACCGAACGAATCGGAGTCATAAAATGAAAATCCCTCCACCA